AGGGATGCCACGTGAACGAAGATTTGTTTCACTGGCAATTCCTCGACGAACCGTGTAGAACAGTGTGAAGAAATATCCCTTGTTCCTGGAAAGAGTCAAGGAAATAAACTGACTAATTCGAAAAATCCAATGTTCCCTAACTTCTCAAATCTACGACTTTTGCTTAGTTCAGTGGAAAAACAAATTTAACTAAGCAGAAAACGCATACCAGCTGGTTTCAAACCACTCTCCAAAAAGGGAAACATCAAATGCTTCGCAAGCATATAGTTATTGGAAGCGAATTGATGCTCATTCAGAACACAATACTGCTGTGTATTTCAAAAAGAATTAACCCAGGCTAGAACGCACTAGGCTCGCTGGTGCGATCATGCATTTTTGCACTAAACTTGCAGATCGCTAATAGCAGACATTGATCCCTATGCTGCAGCCTAACATTTGGCCGTGGTTTGGCCCCTTCCGGCATGCAGGAGAAAGGGCGTCGGCTGGAATGAAGTTGTTGCGTTATAGGGCCGCAAGGACATCCAAGTACTTGATTATCAGTTCTTTGCATGAAGCCCAGTCGATTTGCGGCAAATATCTGTTTTTTGAAAAAGTGCAAATTCCAACATGCAGTTTCAGTTCTTCACTAAAAAGTGAATGCCAGAACGCTCTTCCGTCAAAAAATCCAAACATGTAAATGAACTGGATGTTGGAAGAAAATGAAGGCGGTCGTTCTCTGCAAAATGCACTCGTTTCTGAGTCTGCGGTAAACTTGAATATTCCTCATACCCACCTACAGGGAATCACACCTCCGTGCAGAATTGAGACCGTACTTGAAAGTAGAATATCCCAGCTAAGTTCCAGCCTGGCAACTTATCCGATAAAGAAAATTGCTATTTCGCTACAAATATCTTGCAGTGCCTTAAGTCGTGGCGCAAGTGCAAGTCGGTACTCACCTAGTTATACATTTTCCTATATGGGCAACAAAACACGCTGAAAAAATTTCATCCACTGTTTTACGGCAAGTTTTAGTGTTAGAACGGTACCAAGTTACAAACATTGACTTGATCGTACACACTGCACAAGCGTGCGTGGCAGCTGAATTTGAAAGCTCATACAAGCACAAAGAACATTCCTCCAAAGCTTCAGCTTTCTATCATGCCCGGTTCCTAAAATCGTTTCCCGCCATAGAAATTAGTACATTTTTTCCGAGTTCCATACTCGAGGTCTAGGCGCATCTGAGGGAAGATCTTAAAAAGGGAGGATGACACACGAGGTGGAAACATGTCCCCAAAATTTCCCAGCTTTCCTGGTTGCTGAGTTGAAAGTGGGTGACAAAGTTCACTCGCTTTTGAACATACACACGCAGACGACCTCTCGACATTATGCGTTTTTGCTCGTTGCAGTAGGGCTACAGCGCTGCTATAGCAGGTAAAAACGCGTAAAAATGGTGGAGGTAAGGGCGACGCAAGAAAAGGGCGAATATCAGACTCGTCGGTTTAGCACACTGTTTGCGATAACTGAACTGAATCAGCCTCACCTTACAAAAAGTAATTTTTGACACAAACAAGGAGACTGAACAGATATGATGAAAACTAATCACATTTATTTTAGACCAA